ATTTTTTCATTTCTAATGAGGTCTGTACTGTCTATAAGCCCCTTTTGAAGGAAAAGCAGAAAAGGTTCTCACTGGTCGTCATATAGAAATATGAGTTTTAGTTTCAATGAAACATGTTGTTGTGTTCGGTCGAGTAGATTCCAACTCAGAGCAACCCTATATGACACAGTACAACTGGCCCACAGGGCTTCCTAAGCTGTAATCCTTACGGGAGCAGAGTGCCAGGTCTTTTCTCCAATGGAGTGGCTGGTGGGTTCGATGACATTTTGGTTAGCAGCCGAGCGCTTAACCATTGCGCTACCAGGGCTCCGTCAGTGAAACATAAGTTGATTGATATCAGGAAAGGTGGAGATCAGTAAATGTGAACCCCAAGAGAAAGAAATCATGGATATGGAGGAGAGACAACAATGTAAAGGAGAACGAAATCACCTAACAGGTACCTTCCAGAATAAGCACGAGCAGGGGCAGGAGTGACTAAAGGCTGGGACCTAACCCATCAATGACATTTGGCCAAAAAAGAAAGAATCCATTTGATGGATTTCTGGACAAGAAACTGAGAAAAGAATGAAACCAGTTGGTTATTACAGATGAGCGATTTACCCCTGAAATTTGCAGTTCAGCCAGTATGAAGGAAAACCAAGATAAGCCTGGTTTAATTAGAGCAGGAAATTGTGACTAATTAGTCTGGGGATACATCAGGATGTGGGGCAGTTCTACTCTGTCCTACAGGGTGACTATGAGTCGGAATCGACTTGATGGACACGAGTTTGGTTTGCTTTGGTATATATTCTGGGGTAAAAATCAATCTTTTTGCCATCAACATCTGTTAAAGATGAAAACAGGTCAGTTGGTCCAGAAACTGACCTTCTTCACCTGTCTGTGCTAACGAGTGGAGCACCAGTTCAGCAGTCCATCACCTAGAGAAGTCCCCAGCTGCGAATGCTGGGACCCAATGATGCTCGTGGTTTTACGGATTCCCAGGTAGACCTCCACTTCACTTTCTGCTATGAGCTGAGCAAGACGCTCTGCTGTTTCTCTTTCTCTAGTTTATTCCTCAGAGTCAAGGAAACTCCTGGCACAAGGAATATTTTGTAGGAAAGCCTAAGTGTCATCAATGACATCCATTCAAAAGCGTTAGTCCTTTTATTACCCATTAAGAGTCAGCCACCCACTAATGTATCTTTTATCTATACTTCAAACTGACATCAGTTCTTGGAATAAAATGTAGCACCCCTGTCTGTAATTTATTTTTCTTGATATATCTCTTTCAAGCAGGAATGGCACAGGTAACAAAGGACACAAACAGGTAATCACCATCCTCTTATTTAAAAAAAAAATCAGGATCTGCATTTTGATACCGCAGAACATGATACGATTTTTCAGTTTCAATTTTCACACTGCTTAAATGCATTACCAGTTAAAACACGAATAAAAATTATTCTGGGCTAAAAATCTGACCCCTAGGTAATGTTTTATTTTAATTTAGTGTCTAATGTAGGGTCACAGAAAAAAAAAATAGGCAAATGTTAAATTTAAATGCATAAAACTTGGAAATAATACCAATTTCCATCAGTAAAACCACAATTCTCTGAAATCATCTGGGAACAAGATTTTCTACATATATCCATTTTCTAGATAACAACGTTAACTATTTGATGGAAGACTTTTTCAAATGTATCCTATACTTCCTCAACTTTAATTGTTATTTTTGGGACTGAGCTGTATGCACCATGGCTCTTTGGGACAGTGGAGTACTTGGGACAGCTGTAGTGGCTTTTATTTTGTAACCTCTTCCTTTGATATCTATTAGAGAGTACATACCCCCACCCTATTAGCCATTCTATTTGCTATTGCCTTGGGAAATTTTTTAAAAATCAAATCTTGTTAGAATTGTTTATTAGAGAAGTTTTTAAAAGCCACTGAATGAGGAAACAGAGGTATTGTCTGTGGGGTTAAAATTCAAAGAATGTGTATCAGCTATCAGATTGATAGGTATGTTTTGAATAATCAGATTTACTAAAAGTTTAACATTTAACTAAGTGATATATTACTGGGTTACTAAATATAGATGAGGGGCCCTGGTGGCACAGTGGTGAAGTGCTCGGCTGCTAGTTCAAACCCACCAGCTGCTCCATGGGAGAAAGATGTGGCAGTCTGCTTCCATAAAGATTTACAGCCTTGGAAACCCTAAGCGGCAGTTCTACTCTGTCCTACAGGGTTGCTATGACTATGAGTCAGAATCGACTCAACTCAACAGCAACGGGTTTTATAATCAAAACAACATGGGACTTTACGCTAAGTGAAAGAAGCCATACACAAGAGGTCACATACTGTGTGATTCCATTTACATGAAATACCCAGAGGAGGTAAATTTATCGAGACCAAAAGCAGGTTAGTGGTAGCCAGAAGCTGGGAGGAACTCCTGGGTGATGAGGAGTAACCGCTTAATGGGTATGGAGTTTCCTCTGGGTGATAAAAATGTTCTGCAACTAGATAGAGGTAACGTGGAACAAGTCTGCAGGTACTACGTGCCACTGAATTGTGCCCTTTAAGATGTTTAATTTCATGTGAATTTTACTTCATTAAGAAAAAAGTAGCACAAGGAGTCAATACTTGCAATTACATACCCAACGATTATTTGCTTCAAAAAAGTATAGAACTAATGTTGGGGGTAGAAGACAGAGGCACAATAAGCAGAAAACAAGAGAAGCCACAGAGCAAAGATTGTAGTCAAAAATGATGGCACTGCTAATTATGTGACATCAAACAGCATCTGTGAGACAGTAACAAGGATAACAAAAGGTGTGAGCCTATTCTAACAGACCTCCAAGCTTTTAGAAGAACCAGTTTACGCACCAGAGGCAATTTGAGAGAAATCAAAAATAACATAGGGGAAAAAAAAAAAAACCGCTATAGCAAAGAAGCCAAAAAGTTTAGTTTGCCTCCATGCTCCCCAATAAAGTCTTAGTTCTTGATGTGAAATTCTACTGTTTACATAATCTGAACATCAAGCTGCATTTCCAACCTCATCTCTCAATACATTCTTCCAAATGTCCTTAATTCCAGCTGTCCCTCACTATTCGCTATTACCCTCCAAACTTTTCCACTTCTCTTATGGATTGAACTGTGTCTCCCCAAAAGACAGCTGAAGTCCTAAGTCCTGAACCTGTGAAGGTGACCCTGTTTGGAAACAGGCTCTCTGAAGACGTCATTAGTGAGGTTAGCAGGAGGTTACACTGAAAGAGGGTGGATCCTGAGCCTGTATAACTGATGTCCTTACAGAGAGGGTACGGCACACATCGACCGAATGACAGAGGAAGGACGCTGTGTGACAATGCAGCTGAAAGCCAAGGAGTGCTTGCAGCCACCAGAAGCTGGGACAGAGGATAGGACAGTTCCTCTCTCAGAGCCTCAGAAGGAATCAACACAGACAATATCCTGATTCGGACCTCTATCCTCCAGAACTGTAGGCGATACATTTCCGGTCTTCTAAATTGTCCAGTTGGTGCTTTTTGTTACTGCAGCATTAGGACACTAAGACATGGGCCATTGTTCGTCTGGTTCCCCTCTCTCTAGAATGCCTTCTCTCTCCTCCTTTTTTTCTTTCTATTTCCTCCCTCCCTTCTCCTCTCTCTGAAGCTGCATTCGATACCAAATTGCTGGTTGGCTGAATCAATCCACAGCCCCTTCTTCCTACTCTCCTTCTAGCTATGGGGAGCCAGGTAACATGTGATTTAAAACAAGGAACAAATCTTTGTGGTAGGCTTAGAATGACCCCAAACATATCAGGTTCTAATTCATTTCAGGTTCTAATCCCTGGAAGGAACCCTAGTGGTTCAGTGGTTAAGTGCTCAGCTGCTAACGGAAAGGTCAGTGGTTCTATTCCACGAGGTGCTTCCCAGGAGAAAGACGTGGCAGTCTGCTCCCATAAAAATTTACAGCCTTGGAAACCCTATGGGGCAGTTCTGCCATTGACTCAATGGCAACAACTTTTAACCTCTGGAACCTGTAAATATTACTCTGTTTGGGAAAAGGGTCTTTGGAGATGTGGTTAAGGATTTTGAGATGCAAAGATTTTCCTGGACTATCCAGGTAACCCCTCAATGCCATCGTTAAGTGTCCTTATAAGAGGGAGACAGAGGGAGACTCCACACACATGCGCACACACATGCGCGCGCACACACACACGCACACACACCACGGAGAAGGTGATGAGAAGACACAGCCAGAGACTGGACCGATGCAGCCACAGCTAAGGAATGCCGGCAGCCATCAGAAGTAGGAGAAGCCTACGGAGGGGGTATGGCCATTCTGACACCGTAACTTGGGCTCCGTGAAGCTGATTTCAGACTTCTGGTCTCCAAAACTGTGAGAGAATAAATGTCTTGTTTTAAGCCTGCGGGTTTGTGGTAACTTGTTACAGCAGCCACAGACACTAACACACCCTCCATCCCTCCTCCTTTCTTCTTGTTTGAGGATGATGGTAACACTTGTGATAACAATCCAGAAGACAAAAGCCAGGACGACAAAGATGACAGAGAGAAAAGCGAGCGAGCCTGGGGCCTAGGAAAGACCTCTAGGCATCAGCCCAGGACTCCTCACCTCCAGACTGCCTGCTGTTTGATAAAACTGTATCTCCTATCAGCTTAATCCTTCATTTTTTTCATTTGTGGCCAGATGCAATCCTATATGAAAAAGCTTTTCTTGACCTCTCCAACTAGCTTCAATGGTTAAGAGCTTGGCTGCTAACCAAAAGGCTGGCAGTTAGAATCCACCAGCTGCTCCTTAGAAACCCTATGGGGCAGTTCTACTCTGTCCTGTAGAGTCACTATGGGTGACTAGCTTCGCCTGCTCCTCTGTGCTCTTCTTACCACTCAAACACACCCCCACGATGGAACGCTTTCTGTACATCTGTCTGCTTTGCCTGTTGGGCACTCAGGTCCTCTAAGACAATAACGCGGACTGCGCATGCCCAGCACCTGGCCCAGTGCGCTCACTCGTCAGGAGATGAGTAAGTGTCTGGATGCAGGCATTGGATCAGACAAAGACGGGGACGGTGTCCTGCAAAGGAGACTGGGACTGAAAGCAGCTGCTGTGGGAGCCTCACTGCTTGTTTCGGTGTCTCTAGAGCAGGTCCCACTGCACGTCCTTAATGAGCAGGAGCAACGTGCACTTGGTAGACTTGGGACCACAGTGTAACTAGTGAAGGAGCCACACGCACCCAACACTTCGTCCAGTTCAGTGTCCACCTTCTTCCGGGCTTCTGGATAGGACCCCAAGGATCAGCTTATCGCAGCTGCTGTTGTATCGTGGCCCTAAAAACGTACGGAAAACACAGCTTACACAGCAGAGTTACGTTCAGCTGTCTATTCACTTATGTAGCAAGTCACACAAGGAAGTTCTCCTGCTAAGTGGTTTTCAACAGCTTCTCTAGAACTTACGAGTGGAAGGCTGATCCTAATGTGCGAGAGAAGAAGTCTGGTGAACTCACTCTTCCATTCTGTCTGCTAAACCCGGAAAGCACAGAGTTAATAGAAGCACACGGCGGGAGGAGTGGAGGGGTGGAAACCTTAATATTCAGTGACCAGAACCTGGGGCGTGAAGGGCACGTTAACATTAGCCTGCACCCCCTGGAAGAAGAAGTCACGGTGTTTTAGCTTTGTAACACATGCCTCCACTCAGTGTAGAGGAAAAAAGTCAGAATTTCAAAGACTAAAGCCAAGAGGAAAAGATCATCTAGTGTGGTTGTTTTCACGGGGGTAAGAGGTCGCTGCCGGGGGACTGATGTGTGTGTGTGTGTGTGTGTGTGCGTGCATGTGTGTAAGTGTGTATGTGCATGTATACACCTGCGTGTGTGTGTGTATACACCTATGTGTGCATCTGTGTAAGTCTGTATGCATGTGTGTATATATATGCATACAGGTTTGCGTGTGTGTGTATATACATGTGCGTATGTATGAACTTGTGCGTGTATGTATGTATACATTTGCAGAGAAGCCTGGGTGGCACAGCGGTTAAGCACTCGGCTGCTAACTGAAAGGTTGGCAGTTCGAACTCACCAGCCGCTCCGTGGGAGAAAGACGTGGCAGTCTGCTTCCATAAAGATTACAGTCTTCGAAACCCTATGGGGCAGTTCTACAGTGTCCTATAGGGTCACTATGAGTCGGAACTGACTCGATGGCAACAGGTTTGGTTTTGGGATATGTTTCTATGCCTGTGCATGTAAGTGTGCATGCATGTGTATATGTGTGTATGTACGCACGGATGTATATGTGTATGTTCACATGCCTGTGTGTGTATGTGCGTGTGTGTGCGTATGTGAGTGTATGTGTGTGTATATGTGTGTGTATATGTGAGTGTATGTGTGTGTATGTGTGTGTATATGTGTGAGTGTATGTGTGAGTGTATGTGTGTATATGTGTGTGTATATGTGTGTGTATATGTGTGAGTGTATGTGTGTGTATGTGTGTATATGTGTGTGTATATGTGTGTGTATATGTGTGAGTGTATGTGTGTGTGTGTATATGTGTGAGTGTATGTGTATGTGTGTGTATATGTGTGTGTATGTGTATGTGTGTATATGTGTGTGTATGTGTGAGTGTGTCTATATGTGTGTATGTGTGAGTGTGTGTGTATGCGTGTGTGAGTGTGCGTATGTGTGTGTATATGTGTGTGTATGTGTATGTACCCATGTATGTGTATATGTTCACATACCTGTGTGTGTGTGAGTGTATGTGTGTGCGTGTATATGTGTGTGCGTGTATATGTGTGTGTATATGTGAGTGTATGTGTGTGTATGTGTGTATGTGTGTGTATATGTGTGTGTATGTGAGTGTATGTGTGTGTATATGTGTGTATGTATGCATGTATGTATGTGTATATGTTCACATGCCTGTGTGTGTATATGTGTGAGTATATGTGCGTGTGTATATGTATGTGTGTGTGTGAGTGTATGTGTGTGTATGTGTGTGGGTGTGTGTATGCATGTGTGTATATGTGTGTGTGTGTGTGTGTGTGGGTGTATGTGTATGCATGTGTGTATATGTGTGTGTGTGAGTGTGTGTGTGTATGCGTGTGTGTATGTGTGTGTATATGTGTGTGAGTGTATGTGTGTATGCGTGTGTGTATGCGTGTATGTGTATGTACGTGTGTGTGTATGTGTGCCTACACGCATGCATGTAGAGCGGAGATGAGGAGGCGTCTCCATTTCAACAAATAGTAACAGTGGAAGTTGCTGCACGTTTGCTGCGTGCCAGGCACAGTTCTCAGCACACGTTCACCTGTTACCTAGTCTCATCATCGTCACTATTCCGTGAGGCTTGTGATGTTACAGTGAGGACACTGAGCCCCAGAAAGGCCTGCTGAAGTGCCCCAGGTCATACCTCTAGCACGCCACAAAGCCGCTTAACACTGCATTACTTCACTTTGTAGCTGGCTCAGATGTTCATTTTCTGCATAAAATGTATTTTTAATGAAGTGATTTGCTTTAAAAAAGTGTCAACCCCCGTGCACTAGCTCATCTCTCTCTTTGCACATAGGGAACCTGGGATGGGCCTGGTCTGATCCTGTCACATGTGGTCAGTGCAGCGTCAGAACTAGAACTCGGGTCCAGACTCCCAGCCCCGCTCTCTCTGTACTGGGCCGTCGAGTCTCACTCCCCCAGGAGGAAGGCAGCAGCATCGCTGCAGATCACTGTCAGCAGAGCAGCTAACACGTCCAGCAGGCAGTGAACCTCCAAAAACCACGCATGTCTCACCTTCCTCCACTTTGAGGGTATTACCACACATTACCGTTTAAAAGAACTTCTTTATCTTTATTTGGTCTACATATACTTTGGACACGTTGTCAGGAGGGATCAGTCCCTGGAGAAGGACATCATGCTTGGCAAAGTAGAGGGTCAGCGAAGAAGAGGAAGACCCTCAGTGAGCTGGACTGACACAGTGGCTGCAACAACGGGCTCAAGCACAGCAATGACTATGACGATGGTGCAGGACTGGGCAGGGTTTCGTTCTGTTCCACACAGGGTCGCTATGAGTCGGAACCGACTCGATGGGACCTAACAACATGTATAGAGAGAGTCCCTCTTTGCAATATTTAATACAATATTTAGAATTATCTTTGTAAAAAGTACTTCTTTGTTTTCAGACCAGAAATTCCTTTAGAATTACAAACTGGTTAAATTCTTTATCAGAGAGTTTTTATTATCCTCTTTGGCTATGACAGCTCACAGCAGCAGCTAAGCACTATTTGCTAGTACTGTAAAAAGGAGGTAGTGAGAAATGGACTTGTGGGTTTGGGACGTTCAAAGGAAGCATGACATATATAGAGAACTGAGAGTAATTTCTGACTGCTGTTTCTCTTGAAAAAAGCCTGACAGATTTTAGGTTTCTTGTGGGAAAACATGTCATTGCTATACCGACCACTGGTCAAAATATTTTTCTGAAGGAAGTTGATCTGGTACTTAACCCGATTCTTAAATTTTACTGTAATTTTTTAATATCATGAACCTTCCTCAGTTATATTAAACTACATTAGAATTTGATTATATTTTAAAAAAATAATGCTAGAGATTCTATAAACAACTGGAATTTGTTTAACGATACCTGAAAATGACCTGGCAAAATATAATACCTCAAACATGAAGGTGTCAGCTTCTTCTCGAATGTCTTCACGACTTAGCTTGTTCCCGTGGTCATCAGCTGCCTTCAAAAGCAAGTCAAGAACACCCCTGCATTTCCGTTTGGTGGGGTGAGAGCCCCTCTCATAATCATCTCTGCATTCTTGATCGGTCTTCGCTTGACTGGTCCGTTCAGTGATGACCTGTATGATTTAAACAACAGTCACAGCTTTTGCTTCGAATAGGATACAGCCTAGTAACGGACTTCCCAAGAAAAACATATTCCCTTCTTTAATTTACTTTTTCTAAATTTCCTCTTCTTCCTACCTCAACAATAAGTTAGGCTCTTGTGAAAACACAGGAAAGCTTCCTATTAATATTTAGGGCATTACCTGGTGAAACTGTTTTTTTTAAATCCTGGTGAAAACATACATAACAAAACCTATGCCATCTCAACAATTAAAACGCGTACAATTCAGCAACACTGATATTCTTAAGTTGTGCAACCACTCTTGACATCCTTTTCCAAACAATTGCACCAAATTTGGTGAAACTTTAAAAAAACAAATTTAATGTCAGGCAAATTCATCATTTCCAAGTGCTATTTTTGCAGTCTTTCCAACATGGGAATACAGTAGTAGTCTACCAAATAGTACCGCAGAGATGTGAATGAGCTACTGAGAAAACAGTTTAAGTAGTGGAGAGAAGGCAGTCCTTGTATCATAGACCAGTTACAGATCACTGTTAGTTGCATGTTGTATTGGAGGAAAGACACAGCAAAGACACCAGGTCATTTTCCCCTTTATGCTGTTCCTTCTGCCGAGAACGCTCCGTCCTCAGGCGCCCGCATGGCTGGCTCGCTCACGTTTCAGGTCTCTGCTCACTGTCCCCTGATGCCTGCTTCCCTAGTCGTCAGCACTCTTTGCCTTCCTAACCCTGTTTCATTTTTCTCCATTTGACTTATCACTGACTAACACATATTTATTGCTTAATGTCTTTCTACTTCAGTTTGAGTGTACTATGTGTGTGGCAGGGAATTTGCCTCGTTCATCATCTATTTCCAGCCTTTAGAACACTGCCTGGCATTTTAAGAAAGCTCTTTAGATTTTGTTAAGTGAATAAAAGAATTAAAGTCCTTAAGCTTAATCTGGTTATACATTTCAACGTTTTCCTCCCTTCAGCAACTGATGAAGATCAAAGACCACAGCCTTCAGTATGGGTTACACTTCAACAAAAAGAAAACAAAAATCCTCACAACCGGACCAATAAGCAACATCAGGGTAAACAGAGAAAACATAGAGGTTGTCAAGGATTTCATTTTTCTTGGATCCACAATCAACACCCATGGAAGCAGGAGTCAAGAAATCAAACGGCAAATCTGCTGCAAAAGACTTCTTTAAAGTGTTAAAAAACAAAGATGTCACCTTGAGGACTAAGGTGCACCTGACCCAAGCCACGGTGTTTTCAATTGCCTCATATGCATGTGAAAGCTGGACAATGAATAAGCGAGATGGAAGAATTGATGCCTTTGAATTGTGGCGTTGGCGAAGAACACTGAATATACCATGGACTGCCAAAAGAACGAACAAATCTGTCTTGGGAGAAGCACAATGCTCCTTAGAAGCAAGGATGACGAGACTACATCTTACATACTCTGGACATGTTCTCAGGAGTGACCAGTCCCTGGAGAAGGACATCATGCTTGGTAAAGTAGAGGGTCAGCGAAAAAGAGGAAGACCCTCAATGAGATGGACTGACA